ACCAAAACCAGCCCATTGCTGTTCCATCTATTTCAACTTCATGAGTACAAATCTTTCTAAAGATTACTTAGCCGATTTCCTTGTAGTTGTACTTTATCATTGTTCTTCGATTACCTTACCCCTACTAGTTGCTTGTAAATAACTTTGCTGACTGTGTGAAAGGAGGTTACTCACGCTTATTTAAGTCACCAGAGTCAGAAGACTAGGTATTTGTTGATTATTTGTTTGGTTCCAGTTTGGTGTAAGTTCAGTAAAAGTGATACCAAGACAAAAACAACAACAACAACAACAAAAAAAAAACATTAAAACTCAATGTACGGACTCATGGCAAAAAAAGTGATAGATGTCCAAAATCTATCATTAAATTCCTGTTGCTAACCTAGTTGATTCTGCCTCGTGGTAACTCCATGTGTTAAAGAGTAGAATTACTCCATAGTATTTTCTGAACAGATTCACAAACCATACGTGGCATAACTGCATGAGTTGAAAACACTCACCTTTAAGTGTAGGTCTCTGTGTACCACAGAAACCATCTCTAAACAATGGTGTTTAGACTCAAAACCAGATGGACCTGAATTAAAAATCATGCTTTAACATTAGCCTTATGATTGTAGGTTTCAGTTTCTTTCTTTAGAAAACAGAAACAAGGAACTAAGGATTAGATTTATCAACAAAGTAAAATAATGTATGCAAAGCAGTTAGCACAATTTCTTACAGGAAGACAATGCCTTTAGAAAACAAATGGCAAAATGTAAGCACATGAAAATAATTTGTTTTGAAAAGATTTTACTTTTACTCTCACTAAGTTGACTCACCTTCAACATAAATATTTATCCACCTTAAACATGAACACGGGTCCTTTGGAAGACCAGTCAACAGGGTAGCGCATTCAGGAACTCTGTCTGGAGTCAGAAGTGGCAGAGAGCAATACAGAGATTATGAGACTGTGAGGCAGGTGGACTTCCTGGTCCACCGAAGCAGAAGCAAAGGGACCACATGACCCTGGGCCTAAAGCCTGGAGAGAGACTTGGCTGCTCACTGATGGGGTCTGTGGCTGTGGACCAGTGGCTGCATCTTTGCTGTTTTCTGATCCTGACTTGTGGGAATCTGTTAACTCCTTCCCTAATCAACCTCGTTAATTGTGAAAAAAAAGAAAAAAAAAGAAAACGGATCCTTTTAAACTGTTTGTTTTTAAACGTGCCTAATAGTTCCTTTTGGAGATTCCTTGAAAGAAAAACAATGTAATATAATTTTTTGTACTTTATTCGTGCTTAATAGTTCCTTTTGGAGATTCCTTGAAAGAAAAACAATGTAATATAATTTTTTGTACTTTATTATCAAGCTTATTTCTTAGTAAAATTACAAAAGATAAAGCTATACCATGTCTTAAATATCTAAGAAAAAACTGAAGAAAACTGGTTAAAAAAAAGGAAAAATAATAATAAATCATCTGCATTAAAATATGTACTCAAATATTTCTATAATAAAGTTGAAAAACAAATAAAAAGAAAACAACCTCTATGCTATCCTAGTGATTGGAAACAATTTTAAGAAATAATTACTCTTGTTTTTCATATTGTCACTTTTACATATTAAATCTATGCACTGCTATTCATCTCGTCTGACAGTATTTAAAGTACGCCTTCACTGGCAATTAATTTCATTTCCTTTCTTCTTTTTTCTTAAAAGTCAACTTACAGTTGACTATAATCAAAGGACTTGTGGTATTAGCTTATTAAAGCATCTATCATTGCTTGATAGTTGTGAATATGGAGCTGCTAATATGGCGATTTTTATATTATTATTGATGTGACTGCTTTTTCTTTACTTCTCTAGTTTAATTTTAAGAGAAAATGTATTATAATTGCCCCAAATGGTATCTGCACCATACGATTTTCAAAAGCACCACTAAATTGCTACATGCATATTTTAAAATTATTAAAGTAAAGAAGAAAGAATGCCACTAATTTGTTATTTTCTTAATTAAAAGGCCATTGATTATTTTTATTGATTTTAAACATTTTCTTGTGAATTGGGTGAAGAATTACACTGCAGATCATCAGTATACGTTAAGAAATTCATACACATTTTATTTCAGCTCATCCACTGCAGTCCCCTCAAATATCTCAGTGGGTTTCCGCCTTCCATTCCTCCTTTCTTTATAATCCACTTCATCCTTGGGTAAACGCTGTTCTTTTGATCTTAACTGGCTAAATCTAATGCTGAGATGCGTTCAGGTCCTGAACTGAAAGGTGACTAGGAGTCCTATATGCTTGGGGATCTATGTCTCTAGCCTGGTCTCTTTTGGGATTTTAAGTTAATTTTATATTTTTCTTCACTTTACCAAGGAAATTAAAATGAATGATTTAGGGGAAAGTTGGTAGTAGTAGCTATATTGTTTTCATTGTTGTTTTTGTATTGTTAGGTGCCTTAGGGTTGGTTCTGACTCATAGCAAACCTTTGTAAAACAGGATGAAATGGCTTGGTCCTACCTATGCTATCCTTACAATTGTTCTTAGAGTCCTGATGAGCTGTGGGAGGACATCAAGAGCATCATTCAGGGCGTCTGTGCCTCAGGGTTTCAATGCCACAACTTTTGGTCTCTCTGGTCTTGGCCTCTGGAAATTTCCACAGAGCTCCAGAATGTCCTCCAGTGATGATAGCTTTTCTTCCAATGGTCCTGATATTTCTGTGTTCAGTCTTCTGAGATGGCTCGTTCATCTGGGGGATAAGGTGGAGTTGTTTTTATCTTTTAGCAAACCATTCCCCCCAAGAAACAAATAGAGGTGACTTGGTTCATACCCTTTACTGAGGTGGAGACTTAATCCCACCTTAATCCTGTCCATTAGCATAGCAGAAAACTTCCACTAAAATGGGATTATAGTGACACACAAAGAGTGTAGTATTTATAAAAATCACCTAAGGGATTGTGGCTAGAAGGGCCATATTAATTGATTACTTCTTAATTTATAAAATTAATTGGGATTTTTAAAACTCTTTTTAATTGATTTTATGTGTGTGACACCTTAGCCATTCACCACCTGTCTCCTGGTAGATGTAATAGAAAATATTCACAGGCACACAGTTTTCTGTTTATGTTAGGCTAGGTTGAATGGAGAAATAAATCCAGTGCCACTCAAATATGTGTGAAAAAGAGCTTTATATCAAGAAGTAATTATGGATCAAGCAAACATCCCAGCCCAGTCCAGATCAAGTCCATAAGGCCAATACTAGTCTGTGAGTCCCTCTTCACATGCATTGCTGCAGAATGCAGGAAGATCATAGGCCTGTGGGTGCAAAGTCTTGTAGATCCAGTGGCAGTGGATGCATCTCCAGGGATCGCACAGGTCACCACATGACGTCAATATAAAGGTGAAAGCAGAAAGAGATGAGAAGGTTCCTGGGACCCTTCTTATGAGAAGGTCACACCTAGAGGGAGGCACCATCAGGCTGTGACCTGGTTGACAGGCTAGACTCCACCCCTTGAAGTTGACAAGAAATTATGTAACTACCACACTATTCATATAGTACAGTTGAGAGCCAGTTTGACTGATGTTCTCGACTATCTACCAATTTTCACACAGTACAAGAATTGATAGTGCCTCTAGACCAGTGAGTGTTGATACAGAATGTATGAAGGTAACAGGTCCATGTGGTCACCATTGTCTCCCATTGGTGTGGAGGAACAAGAAAAATAACAAAAACAGAAGAAATTAATAAACAAAAATGAACAAAGAATTGACATTCTAAATACGGGTAAAGCAACAGCAAGAGAAAATAATAACTAAAAAGAAGGGAAAGAACAGCAAAGAAAATTAAAGGTATAGAAAATAAGATAAAAATACAATACGTAAAACTAAGGAGAGGGGGAATTGAAAAGGGAAAAAAAGAATAGTAAACAACTAAGATAAAAGAGAAGGAATAAAATGTTAAATAGAAGAAAAGGGAAAAAAGGGAAGCAGAGAAATTAAGGATGAAAACAAGGTAAGGGAAAGAAAAGGGAAACCAGCCAAACTGACCAACAAAGTGATACAGCTGTGGACATCCGGGTTACTGGAACTCTGCGAATGAAGGTGCGCACAGAAATGGAGTGGAACGTGGACCTCCATCGAGTTCTTTCATATGTGTCTATGGACAGGGCACTTGATCTGGTCTGATGGTAGCTGATGATTATGGAAGGCATTTCTGCCTGCCCACATGGATCTGGGCTGTACCTGATACTGTGTATTCTGCTGGTCTGATGAGAGGGAGTTCCAGTGCCTCCCCATATGGCCATAGTGTACTCCACACTCAATGCAAGGATTGGTGAGATTGGAGGGTGCTGGGTGGTGTGTCACTAGTTGCTAGTATGTAGCAATGAGCTTTGGCCACACTTTGGATAACCAGGAGGGTATAGGGGAAAAGGGAGGATGCTACCAATTCGCTTCACTAACCAGTGTGCCACGCCATGGTCTGGACGGAATGCTGTTTGCAAGAGTACAAGACGGCTGTGCCACTTCAAACTAGAAGAAAATTCACCCTTCTAGCTCATCCTCACCACTGTGACTCGGCTTCCTCTCCTAACTGGAATGCACGTCACTTCTCGATCCTTTCTCTGAAATGCAGGCTTCCAGGACTCCTCATCTGCTTCTGTTTCATTTGATCATTCTTTTCTTTGATGTAGAGGCCTGTGTAATATGTCTGCCCATTTTCCATCTTGCTAAAAGTCTCAAGAGGCAAATATTTAATTGAGCTCTAGTTGAATGACAAGATTCAGTGTTTATTATGGTACTGTTTAGCAAAAACTACCCCCATGAATACATAATAGTTCAGGGCTAAGATTTACTGTGCATAATCAGTTATTACTGATATTTGTGGTAGGTTTCACAGTTACTATATTTTTCTCCTGCAGACTGTGTGAAGAAACAACTGAGAAAAAACTAACATACATGTATATTTGTAACTTTTCTTTCTTTTCAGATACCTTTTTTAATGAATATAAATATATTTTTCCCCTTTAGATGTGGGTTCTGTCGAAGGACTTGCTTATCACAGAGCTTGGGACACACTGTACTGGACCAGCTCCACTACTTCATCCATCACCAGACACACAGTGGATCAGACTCGACCAGGAGCTTTTGATAGAGAAGCAGTCATCACCATGTCAGATGACGACCACCCGCATGTGCTAGCCTTGGATGAATGTCAAAAGTGAGAAAAGCTTATTTTTTATTTGTGCACTACAATGAGAGTTTTTAAGAATATATTAAAGTTTACATTAACTTTGCAAAATTAACTTTGAAATCAAGGTTTGGTGGTTTGTTTCAATTATTGGAAGTTCTCAGCTCACAATTCAAAATAAAATAATTATAGCACTGCAAAGTTAAATAATTAAAATTGGAAATCCCTGAATGTTGGGTTTCACCTCCCTGAGAGTTCCAAGAAGAAAAGAATATATACAAATGAAAGCGGGGGAAGGCGATACTATGTTAGAAAAGAAATATGCTGCAACATACATATCTAGTTCGTTAAACTGCGAATATGGACAAAAAATGATTTAAAAAACCAAATATTAACATATTAATATATATTGAAGCCTGAAAGATTTGTTTGCATTTTAACCAAATAATTTTAGCAACTGGGGATAGCTCTAATTGAAAATTTTTTTTAATTCCAACTACCTGTATTATATGCAGAAATAGCTTCAATATAAGATACTACAGAGATCTGGAAAAAAAGAGTCCCTGTAAAAAGACATCATGTTTAATAAAGTAGAAGGGTAGCAGAAAAGAGGAGTACGGTCAAAGAGACAGATTGACACCCTGGCTGCAATGTAAAGGCTCAGCCAGGACAGTAACTGTGACAAGGGTCCCTGCCTGGGCAAGGGGTCATTCTATTGCACATTGGATTGTTCGGAGTCCTACCTGACTTGGCAGCAGCTGACAGCCCACATACTGAGACGTATTTTCTTAGACTGGGTTCTAAAACAAAAACAAAACAGTGACATGTATATAAGTACATAAAGAGAGAGAAAGTTACATTAGGAATAAGACTCCCATGGTTGTGGAAGAGGGCCAATCTGCACCCCAGCATGTTCCAGGTCTGTGGGTCAGATGTTAACCTGGAAAGATTGGCAGTCTCAGAAGCCCTACGGAGCAGTTCTACTCTGTGCGATAGGGTTGCAATGAGGGGACATTGACTCACGCACTGGTGTGGTTTTTTTGTCTTTTTAAGCTTTCATAAAAGAAGCAGCTATACAGTAACAAGGACAAGTGTCTGATTGAGTATACAAACATTTACATCTACTTGTGCCACTCTCTTACAATATGGGAAGGTTAGCTACCAGTAAATTCTGCTTATAAATAAAACAAATAAAAATTAGCCTTTTATTCAGCAGCAATACAAGATTTCTTAAATGTGTAGTAAAGAAAAGTGAAAAAAAAGTCTGATAAGCACTGATCATGACTGCTTTTCAGAAAAAAAGGAACTGCATGATGTAAGCAGTTAACTGGTTACAAAATTTAAGAGAATGGAGCTCACCCATGGCAAATAGTTCTACTTTGACATACATGGGATCTCTCTCTGTGTTTCAAGGGCTTAGATTTTTTTGTGGTTGTTGAGCTGGAAGTAAGATAAGATTTAATATACTTAATTAAATGCCTTCATTCTAGAAATAAAGATTCTGAAAATCAGGAGATGTATTGACTTTTTTACACAGACCTGTGATTCTTAGTTCCAATAGCCAGAGCCTTCCTGTGCCCAGAGGTCATTCCACTCACATCACTGCCATTTACGGTGGGTTCAGCTACATTTATTCTGCAGATAAATCAGATCTTGGGACAAAAATAAATATCATAAAATAAGAATTAACAGGTCTACTTTGATCAAAAAGAGAAATGATATTATAGATGATCCCCCAAAAGTCAAAATCTTACACAAAATGACATTAAATTTAGTACAGGGTAGACCTGCCCCTGAGTTTTGAGACTGTAACTCTTTAAGGGAGTAGAACCAAAGCCAAGTTCACTGCCACAGAGTCAGTACTGACTCACAGCGATCCCCTGTGGGTTTCCAAGGCTGTAACTGTTTATGGGAGTAAAATGCCCAGTCTTTCTCCAGAGGAGATGCTGGTGGTTTCGCTGCTGACCTTGCTGATCACAGGCCAGCACATAACCACTACACCACCAGGGCTCCTATGGGAGTAGAAAGCAGTGTTAGTCCAGGTGGAGTAGAGAAACAAATTTATAGACACACATGTGTATAGGAAAGAGCTTTATATACAAGAACAGCTGAATATTGAAAAAACATTCCAGCCCAATCCAGGCCAAGTCCTTAACTCCAATATTAGCTCATATGTCCAATATAAATCTATAAAGTCCTCTTCAACTCACGAAACACGTGCAATAATGCTGAATGCAGGAGGATCACAGGCCAGTGGGTGCAAAGTCTTGCGGATCCAGTGGCGGTAGAAGCATGTCAGCGCTGGCAGGGGTCTCCATGTGGCTCCTCCAGTTCCCATGGCATGTGGTCTATCAATGTAGTGCCATGTGTCTTGTCAATGGAGCATCTCTCAGGGAGTGAGCTAAGAGAGAGAGAATGTCTCCCACCTCCAGGGAGAAAATCCAGGAATTCCCAGAATCATCAGAAAAGTATTGTGACTACTTTTCTCATATTGACTAAGAGAATAGAATAAAATGATTTTTGGCATTTGGTTACTTAAAAACCTTTGTGCTCCATAGACTGAGTGAAAATGTTTTCCAAATAGCAATGATGACATTTTAAAAATTAACAAGTAGAATGGATTTTGTTGTAAGTTGAAATATATATAGGCTTTGGGTATAGATTTTCACATTATTCCTATATGCTGCATGTTGACTGATTTTGCTGAGTGTAAACATATTGCTTTTGAATGATTTTACATGGCAACGATAGAAACACTCTCACTTTAAATATGGGAGCTTGGTTATATTGTCCCATAGCCGTTAGACTGACAATGGCAAGGTCGTCAGTTCAAACCCACCAGCCACTCCAAGGGAGAAAGAGGATGCTCTCGGCTCCCAGGAAGCTTTGCAGTCTCAGAAGCACAAATAAGTTCACTGTAAGTTGGAATGGCTCTTTGGAAAAAGTAGTGGTGGTTGTGAATATAAAATATAAGTTTAAATAGATTTTCTTTATACAAATAGTTTTAAAAAAACATATATTTTAAGTGTTCTTATGTTCCTCCCTTTCTGCGTCCTTTTCTCTCTGCTAATCATCAGCCCATTCATACTAAACCATATGCAAATACATTCTTATGCACATTCCAATAAAGAAGAATTATTCTAATAAAAGCAAGATTGGAAACGGGAACCCTGCAATTATCTTCTCACATCCATGAAAGAAGTTTTCCAGAAAACAGATCTGAGAACTTCCACAAAATCTGAAGGTTTCCTCAGAGTAAAGTCTGGGAAGGATGCAAAACAAAACAACGTAAGCTCACTGCCATCAAGCCCGTTCCGACTCGGGGAACTTGCAGGACACGCTTGGACTTCCCTTGTGGGTTTCTGAGACTGCACATCTGAGCGGAGCAGGACACTCTTCTTTCTCGCGAGGAACCCCTACAGCTCAAATAGCTGACATTGAAGTTAGTAACCCAGTGTACCAGCACCACACCACCAGGGCTCTCTGTGATGTAAGGCATCCTGAACAATCTATATATGAACAAATATGAAGTTCAAGTATTTGGACCTTATCTCTGTAATAACAGAAATGACAGAAATTTTAGAATAATGAGTAAGCAAAATACTAGGAATAGTCTGGTAATTTTATTTTTTCGACCGAAATGAGAATGCAGAATTTTAAAAGCAAACCTTGAAAAGGAGAAGATATTGAATTTCACCCAATTGAAAAGAGAAATATAACAGAATAATATTGATATTCCAACTTTCCACACTGAATCTGCTGAACAGTGATATTAAAATTAGAAGATATTTGTAGCTCACAAAAAGTTTAAGATGATTGTTTTGTTCCTGATTAAAATGTATCTTTACTATGCGGCTAATTGGATTAAGTTAATGTGATTATTATTTGAGAGAAGGCACAATGTATTTTTTCTAGAAATGAAAATTGAAAACCTTAAACCTAAGTTTCATTTATGAATTTGGGAAAACTATATACATAAACATAAATGCATATCTTCCTTTGGTGTCTTAAATGTCTGAGGGTCAGAGACTAAGGAATGTTTGCTAGCTTGGCATTGCCATATTTCTACTAAGGTTTTTAAGAACAATAAAGCTATCTTAATATTTTTTTACAATTTTCTTTTTAATTAGTTTAATGTTTTGGACCAACTGGAACGAACATCATCCAAGCATCATGAGGTCTACCCTTACTGGGTCAAATGCTCACGTGGTAATTAGTACAGACATGCTCACTCCCAACGGACTCACGATCGACCACCGTGCCGAAAAGCTCTATTTCTCAGATGGCAGCCTTGGAAAAATCGAGAGATGTGAATATGATGGATCCCAGAGATATGTAAGTTTACTAGGAATTTCTCGTTGATGGATATATATGATGATACATTTAGAAAACATAGGTTTATCATTCTTACAATGTAGATATCATGTCAAAAAAGTAATTGTTTAGAGCAAACCAATTGACTAATGAATCCATTCAGTGAGAAAGAAAACTGTGGATAATATTTTGATAACTCTTTTCAAGTGAATTTGCTACCACAAAAGAATGCCAACTCTATTTTACCCTAGTGACTTTAGCTTAGTTATTCATGAGAAATTACTAGAATGATACACATATATGGAATTGTTTCAAACACATATAAATATACGTATACATATGCATGTTGTTCTGTAGAGTCAGCTCAGACTGATAGCTACTGACCCTATATACCACAGAATGTCCAGTTCTGTGAATTTTTTTAAATTTATTTTTCATTGAGAGTTAATACACCTATCATATCATTCCATAGTTCAATCATATCAAGCAGTATTTTACAACTGCTACCACAATCAGAAATCTTTTAATTGATGTTTGAGTGCATTGTTTCAACCACTATCTCAATCCATATCCTGAATGTTGGGTGTGTGTGTGTGTGTGTGTGCACCTGCGCTAATGGTCGACTACCTAAGCATGATGCCCTTTTCCAGGAGCTGGTCTTTCCTGACAGGTTCAAAGTTCCTGGAATGAAATCTCACCATCCTTTCCTCTACGGAAGATTCCACTTTTGGTACTTTTCACCAACACCATATTTCAAATACATCAATCCTTCATTGACCTTCTGTGGTCATTATCTAACTTCCGCGGGCATGTTAGGTGATTGAAAATGACATGCTTGGCTCAGGCCCACCTGGGTGTTCACAGTGACGACCTTCCTCTTTGGCAGTTTCCAGAAGCGTCGTGCAGCAGAGTGGCTCCATGTATCTGTCCTTGCTCTTCTAGTCTGCTGCTTCCAGGAAGCTTGACTGCTGTTTGCATGAGCATTGATAGTGCATCCAAGCAACCTGGCAACTTCCATCTTATACGGAGAGCAGAATGTGTTAGTTTCCTTAGGGAAATGAGGAAATTGGAAAATAATGTACTACTACTTCCTTTTTAAAATAACTTTTTATTGTGAATTAAGTGAAGGTTTACAGAAGAGATACGCGGTATTCATCAATTCAATTCACATTTTGTTTCAGCTCACTATTATTACAGGATGAGTGGAGGTTATGCATTAGACCGCTAACTATAAGATCAGTAGTTCAAAACCACTAGCTGTTTCATAGGAGAACAATGAGGCTTTCTATTACCATAAAGAGTTGCAATCTCAGAAAAGCACAGGGGCAATTCTTCTCAGTTTTATTGGGTTGCTATGAGTTCACTTGATGAAAGTGCATTTGGACTTTTGGTTTATATAATGGTATTATCTTTTGTTGGCTTTAACGCTTGCAAACCTCCTAGTATCTTCTGCTGTCTTCCTTCTTAGTAGATATTGCCTCCCGCTTCTCTCAATTGTATGTTTGTCTGTCGTATAGTCAGTTATGTTTCTTCTCTCCTTCTCCTTTCTGCCCCAGTAACCATTGAACAATATTTTGTTTGGTGTGAAAAACATATCAGGACCTTTTATAATAGTGGTCTCTTATTATATTTGTTCTTTTGTGATTGACTCTTTTCACTCAGTATAACATCCTAGGGTTCACATAAACCCTGGTTGCTTTTCTAGTGTTGAAATAGTCTTTATACCTGGTTTAAGACAGCAATGAAGAGTTATTTGTAGTGAGTTGTTGCATCTTTTGGCTGTCATTTTATTAAGAATGTCTGCATCTATGTTCATGAAGCATCTACTTTTCCATGTTAGTTATGTCTCTACGTAGTTTGGGTATCAGGGTTTTGCTTGGTTTTGAAATAAAGCTGGGAGTTATCAATCATTTCCTCTCCTCTAGCACAGTGTCAGTAGAAGTGGTGTCAGCTGTTCTCTGAAGGTTTGTTAAAATTCTCCAGTGAAGGCATTTGGATGGGAATATTTTTTTTTTGCTTATGTTTTTAATTTCCTGATCAATTTCTTCTTTAGTTATGTTCAGGTTTTATACTTTAGCTTGTGGTAGCTTAGATAGGTAATGTGTTTCTAGAAATTTGTCCATTTTTTCTATATTTTCAAATTTGCTGGAATATCGTTATTTAGTTTTAAGATTCTATTATTATCCTTTTTCCCTTTTGGTTCAGTTGTGATAGTGTGTATTTCATTTAATATTTGTGCAGTTTGCATCTTCTTTTCTTCTGTTAGATTTGTCAATTATAACAATATTTTCAAAGAATCAATTTCTTGTCTACTGATTTTATTGTTTTTTTTTCTTCATTTAATTATGCTCTGATCTTTGTTATTTTCACCTGATGATTGTAGGTTAATTTTATTGCTCTTATTAGTAGAGATGCAGATAAAAATGTTGATTTTTATTCATCTTTTCTAATGTCTACCTTTATTGCTGTAAATTGATCTCTGAGTACAGCTTTTGCTCTGTCCCAAAGGTTTTGATTTGTTGTGTTTTCATTGTAATTTAAAGAACATTTTAAGTTAATTTATTTTTTTATTCTATTTATTACTTGGCATTTTTGCACCAGTTTGTTATTCAATTTTCATGTGTGGATTTTTCCCCCTTTGATTTTCCTACAGTTGATTTCTAGTTTTATGGAATGGTGATCTGAGAATATGTTCTATAATATCTAAATATTTTTCAATTTATTGAGGTTTGCTTTAGGACCTAGCATATGATCTAATATATAATATGCTATTTTGGGTAAATGGTTCTGTGTTCTGTTGATGCCGTCAAATTGGTAATTGTGTTCTTCTGTGACTCTGTTAGCCCTCTTTCTACTTGCTCTACCCTTTATTATAAGTGGGGTACCACTGTTCCCTACTATTATTGCAGAGTTGTCTATTTCTGACTTTGGTCTTTTAACATTTTGATTAATGTATTCTGAAACTCTTCCAGTGGCTCAGTACTTCTCTTTATGTTGTCCCACATACTTTATAATATTTTTGTTGCCTTTTAATTGCTTCTGTAGTTGATTAATATTGAGATCTTTGTCTTTCAGCTCACTGATTTTCCCTTCCATTTTCACTGCTACTACTTTGCTTTTCAACGCATGATATATTTCAGAAATTGTACCGTTAATCTTCTGGATTTCTAGTTGCTGTTTTAGTATGATTTGAACATTTTCATATCATTTTTAAAGGACAATTTTATTTTAAGAATATAATTGTCAATAGACAAAAAGAGCATTATGGCAACACAGAGTCCTGCCTGTTATATAGCAATTTCCAAGACAATTCACCAACAACCAAGCTTGTAAAATTTTACCTTCCTATTGCTAAAAGCATAGATATGTGGAGAAACACCAGAAACTAATACAACAGTTATAGTTATTGCGACTAGTTATGATTTCAACAAACCTAAAGAATCAGCAAGACACTACCATGGAGGGGAGTGAAGGCAGATTATACAGGCAGAATGGTCTCCAGGCAGTCACTGCAAATTCCTTCCAAGTATGTTCTCAGAGCAAGTGCAGGGCCACAGGGTTATTCAGTCAGAAAATTGGCCATTAAGGACTTGACCTTATATCCTAAAACATACTATTCAGTCAGACCCTGGTATTACTGCTGCACGTCAATGGGTAACTCTCCCAAAGTCCCCATGCCTAAGGCAAAATGGTCTCTGCTAAGGTTTACCAAGCTATTGTGTCACTTGAAAGAGACACTCTCTTCGAATACTAGTTCCTTACTAAGAGCCAATGGCCTGGGTGAGTCGCTCAACTCAATGGACCCAGATGAATCTGGATTCCAAACTAACCAAAGGTTCTCATTATGGAATAATTGAAAAGGCTCTGGGATTTAAAGCAACAACAACAATCTTTGCTGTGTTGGTAAAGCACCTACAGATACTCCTGGCCTGTTCTTCCCACCATTGAAACCTACCTTGGATTTGTAAAATGATCTTCCAGAGAGAAGATGTAGAGAATGCCTGTAAGAGGTGGCTGGGGTAGGTCAGGAGGAAGTCCTTGCCTAGGGCTCGGCCTTATTATTGCAGGTCTAAAATGGTGGAGACAAACTGAAAGCCAGGGAAAGAAATATGTTTACCTTTAGCATATTTGTCAACATTTTCATTTTTGTTGTCATTTTGCTCTTGTAATGCTTTCCTGAATTCTTCGAGTTTTTCTCTGTCTCCTTGATTCCATCTACAACTTTCTTTATCTTTTTGCAATCCATGAAAGGATTCAAAATACTATTCTTTTGAATTCCCTATCTGGTAGTTCCAATCCATTTCTTCCTGAGTAAAGTCTTCTGGTCCTGCACTTCGATTACGATTTTGAACCACATCTTGTTTCTTTGCACTAACTGAGAATGTCAGTTGACTTTGACGTGTCCTGCTGTTGCTTTTTTGTTTGCTCACTTGTTTTTATTTTTAAAATTTTATTCAACCGTTTTATTGACACATAATCCACACACCATAAAATTCAATAGTTCAATAATATCAAGAAGTGTTGTACATCTTGCATTTTAATTTAATTGTTGCTTGCATGTTGGTGAGACCATAGCCAACCTGTCTCTTGGTTGTTGGATGGAGAATGATGGTATGCATAACTCTCCATTTGTTGTTGAGTATAGACAGGGGAGAGGATGGAGAGGAGAATGTGATTGTGTGCATAATTTTCCTTTTCTATTGTGTATAATAATTTGATGATAATTAGTAAGGTGTATAACAATTGTATAAGTATTATAAATAGAATGTGTGCATAATTCTCTATTTGCTGTTGTTCCATGTGCTGGATAGCACAGTTAAAGTGTGTTTTGCTAGTGTGTCCTGCTATGTATTCAAGCTCAGGTGCAACTGGCCCTCCTTTGGGAAATGTGACTGCAGGTGATTTGGATGTGTCTGGGCTGTGGGAGCTCATTTTCTGTCTCCTGTCAGCTGAGATATGAGAAACGAAACAACAACAACAATAACAAAGGAGGTGGATGAAGAAAACACAAAAAAGCAATA